ACCAAGATCAATGAGCTGCGGCCTGCCGACGTTCCCTGCGCGTGTGCCTGTGTGCCTGCACCCCCCTCCCCCCCCTCCCCCAGCCGACCCGCCTTGCGGGCCGCCCCGCTGCGGCTAGCTCTTCCTGCTCCCCCGCGCCGCTCCACCACTGCGTGGCGCGTTGTGCGTTGTGTGCGCGATACATGATTACGATCAAGGACGCTCGAGTCAAAACCAAATTTGTGTCTGAACCTCACTCGTGTTGATTGTGTCCCCCGTGTCTGAGCGATCGTGCTGGAGTTCGGAAGTGTGCGTGTGTGCGTGTGTGCGTGTGAATGATGATGCGTGTATTCTGCAATGCTGACCTGTCTGACGAGAAGCAATACTACTACTATGACTATTGGCATCTGACACATCGCGTGCTGCCGCTGCGGTTGCCGTTGCTGCGCGAAGGAGGGTCAAAAGGTCGTGTGCGGTGATCCGGTGCCGCGCACGCGGGACAACCCTCTGAGATGGTGCCGCCGTGGTTTCTGCGATGGAGCGATGGGGTTCGAATGCGCTGGGTGACGTCAGTTCGCCCGAGTGCGGGAAACGCCCCAAAGAGCCCTTTCACCGGTGCCTTGGCACACAAACACACACACAGGTGTGCGCGCGTGCTGCTGCTGTGATTCTAAAGGAAAATCTTTGCTACAGGCGATGCGCGCGCGGCGTGCGAGATGACCTTATTTCTTCCAAACTCCAACCAAGATCAATGAGCTGCGGCTTTTAGCTGTTGTTTGTTGTTGTGTACGCTGGGCCTTTTGCAGCGTCTTGTGGTATTGGTAGTATTCGTATTTTTTGCTAATACAAAGTTTTCCTGTTGATGTGTTTTTTGTGTTCGAGGCCTTTTCTTTGGGCCCTGCTGTGTGTTTCGTCGTGTTGCCGTCTAGGGATGTTGACGATGATAAGCGTTTGCTTTTTTTTTTGGCTGTTTATTATGTGCCCACTGTATCTTTCATTTGCTGTCGTCTCCCTCTCTTCTCTGCCCATCTTCTCTGTTTGCATCTCGCTGAAGAAAGCGAAAAACATAAAATATAGATGTGCGGCGAAGCACGCGTGGTGCAGCTGCAGAGCAGCTGTGGCTCTCTAAGCATAGAGCTCTACAACAACTTTTGCGCGGATGGCTTTTGGCAGTTGGCGTGCAGCGGGCAGCTTCGTCGGTTGATGTTTCGACGTTTGCTTTCTGGCTTTGCCATTATGGGTGAGGTGGCGGATCCCTGCGCTCGCTGCTTCTCTGCTAGGGAGGTGGCAGCTGTGTGGGAGAGCTCCGAGGCGCCAAAGCTCTATCATGTGGGTGCGGGGCTTCTGAGTTGCCGCCCGGTCGTTGGGGCGCCAGTCTGCTGCAATTTTGTTTTGACACTCTCGCCGCAGCCTCAGCTGGATGCAACACACGTTGTTTTTGGGCGCGTGTACTCCGGCTTCCAGGCGGTGGAGAGGATGGCAAGGATGGAGGTTGACCCCAAATTCTCTTTCTACACGCCGGTGACAGTTCTGAAGTGTAGCACGGCGATTCTTCCGAAAGGGACGCCGCCTGGCAACGAGAACATCGTAAGAACCGCAGATGGCTGCACTGTGAAGCAGATGTCGTCCGTGCCGTTGGCCTCATTGCTTGAGTAAGGCAGCAATATGTTTTCCTGATTTGGTGAAGTGGTTGGCGGTTGCCGTAGTAAAAACGACGTGCGTTTGCTCGCTTGCTGCTCGGTTTTCGTAATCGGACGCCGACGGATAATACGAAAGAAACAGACAAGTGGAGAACACCGGGTGCGGATAGAGAGCGTTGTCCTTCTACCAACGCTGTGTCCGTACCGCTTCTCAGTTGAAGCCAAGATACACAGAAGACGGGTGCTGTGCCATTGCGATCTGCGCATGTCACTATGCAGTCGTTGCGGAGTACGGTTGTTATGATTCTGAGATTCGATTCACTGCGCTCAGATATGTTTGCTGATCTGCCCCCTCTGTGACTCTCTCTCTTTATCTTTGTTCAAGCCGTTTATCCCACTTGAACACCTCACTTCTTGTAGCGGCCATCATTTTCTATCGTTGTCAGGCCGGAAAGTAGAACACCCTGCGTAGCCATTTTCTGAGCGAACGAAGGAACACGAGAGCTCCCCGATGCCCGCAGCAAAGACATGTGACCCCGAGGCGTTCCTCTTTGGCATGCTGGGCGCCGCGTTCTCCCTCGCCCTTGCCAATGTCGGCGCCGCCTACGGTACTGCGAAGGCCGGTGTGGCGGTGGCGCAGCTCGGTATCGTCCAACCCACACGCGTTATGCGTGGCATTGTGCCTGTGGTCATGGCTGGTATCTTAGGTATTTACGGACTGATCGTCTCGGTGATTATCTGCAACAACATGAAGCTTAGCGGCTACCCGCTCTTTTCTGGCTACATGCACCTTGGCGCGGGGCTGGCGGCGGGCTTCGCTTCCCTGGCGGCGGGGTACGCCATCGGCATTGTAGGTGATATTTGCTGCTATGCGTACGCCAAAACGGAGAAGGTGTTTGTGCCGATGATCCTGATGCTTATCTTTGCGGAGGCGCTGGGTCTGTTTGGGCTCATTACGGCCCTGCTGATGAATAACAAGGCAAACGCGGTGGTTGGCACTTGCACCTCCAGTTAGCATAGGCGTTCTCTGTTTCTTTTAATTCGCTCCTTTTCTTTTCAGTTTGTTTTCGACTCTGATGAACCGCCCAGGTAGGTTCTGTTGTATTTCCCTCGCTCCCAGCAGTTTTTCTTTTGCCGATGGGGGTAAGAGGGGTATCGAAGGTGAGTGGGGCCAAGACAGCTGTGCACGGCGGCCCCATGGCTTTATCGGGTACGCTTTTAGGTGGAGCCGTGCAATTGCCGTCGGTGCGGCAGCTTGTTACGCGTAAGGCAGCTGTTGTGCGCACGTGTTGATGCGTCTGCCCTCGTGCTTTTAGGCTTTGTGTGCCCTCACGCGTTTTTGTAGTTGTGGGTTGTGCGTTCGCGCTTGCCTTGCAGGAAGTCAGACGTTGCCTGTTGGAGTGGTGCGCTGAAGTGGGAGGCTTTTCTCACGGATAAACATTGGCAGCGTGGAGGCGTGGAGGTTGGCTTCAATAGGGTGTCACTCCAATTACTTGAAAGCGTATGATGACTATCACGTAGGATCACCGAAACTCATTGGCGCTGTGATGTGCCTGCAGACCCACACTGCATTTGTGGCGAGCTCTTGCGGGTACCAGAGGCGATGAGTGGTGCTACCGCATGCGTGCCTGACTTGATAGTAGCTGTTTTCGCTTCTTTCACTGACATAAGCGAAGGTAACGAAAACAACAAGGATTGTATAAGTGCTTTCCATCGATTCTAGAAATGATTTCAGTGTCTTCCCATGGGCATTGCTTCCCTGCTCTTGATATCTTTGCGTGAAGGCCATCCTTGTTCCTCGTGCCTTGCACTTTCCCCCTTCTCTCACTGCGGCTGCAAGTTTCCATTGCGTTGTTGTTGTTGGGTGCAGCGCCTGCATCAACGCCGTGTGTGTGTGCCGCCTCTCTCTCTGATCCACATTATAACGAGCAGGTTATGGGGCAAGGGAGTCGCCCAACGTTTTGTACTCTCGCTTTGAGTTTCTGCGCTCCCGTGCTCTGCAGGTGCGCGTGTTTCTAGCACTTCTCTTACCTCTCAACCCCGCGCTCCAGCACGGTGGGATAAAGACAGCACAGCCTCTCCAAGCTGCTGTCCACCCCGCATGCCGGTCTTGCATCAACGAAATCCTGTGGTGTGCTGCACACAGGAGCATCAAGCCAAAGTCTACAAGCGGCAAGCTCCACATCGGAAACATTTTTATTCGTGGGTGGCGACCGACAAGAAGCAGCTCGAGGCAACCGAGCGTCTGCTGCTCCGCGGACTCCCCTACTATCAAGCTCAAATAGCGGGCCTCAACACAATCTCCACTGATGACATATGCGCTTGCAATGAGAGCCTTGCAGCGGCGGCGGCCAGCGCCGACGGTAAGCGTGTGGAAACCGCTGCAGCGGCGCTCTCGCCTGTATCGCCCACTGCGATGGAGGCGGACACAAGGGACGTGCTGTTGCTCGTTCACGGCTTTGCCGGTGGGTTGGCGGGGTGGGCCCAGAATTGGCGGTTCTTCGCCGAGCACTACCGCGTCTACGCGATCGACCTGCCTGGTTTTGCGCGCAGCGAGCGCCGTGCTCACCGTGCCACGTCAGTACCGGAGGCGATGGATTTCGTGTGTGGCTACTTGGAGCGGTGGTTTCAGCGGCTGGACTTCAAAAAGCCGGTGATTGTCGTTGCTCACTCCTTTGGTTGCTTTGTTGCGGCGCACTACGCGATGCGGTGCGGTGCGAGTCAGATCAAGCAGATCTGCTTCACTGAACCGTGGGGAGTGATGCGCGGCAACCGCGATAGCGTGAAGAAGTCATCTATCACCTTCCGGCTCTTGCTCACCCTCTTCTACCATGTCAGCCCGCTCGCCCTTTTGCGTGCCGCTGGCCCGGGGGGGCCACAGCTGCTGCGTCACACGCGCCCCGACTTCGAAGAGAAGTGGAAGGCTTTTCTCGAAAACACCACCCCCGTCTACGACTACTTGTACCACTGCAATGCGCAGCGATCACCCGTTGGCGAGACGCTCTTTCAAGCCTGCTGCCATCGCAACGTCTGTGCAAAGGAACCTCTTCAGGATGTGCTGCCGTTTAAACTTGACAAACGCATCCGTGTAGCGTTTCTCTTTGGTGGCGAGTCGTGGCTGGAATCGTGCGAGGCAGTGGAGATGGCCTCCGTGATGCTCGAGAAGGGATTTCACGTCTTGATTGACACGCTGCCCACGGCGGGGCATCAGATATTTACGGATGATGTGAAGGGCTTCAACGAGAAGACACTGAGCTTGCTGAGGGCCTTAGCGACGTGTCCGGATCGATGGGAACCGATGGGAAATGCTGGAGGTCCCACGGTGCGTTAGCGGGGCGCATCTCCAACCTCTTCTCCCTTTCGTGGGTCTGACAGTTGCCTCCTTCTCGTCCCGCTTCGTCCTTTTGTCGTTGTTGCTTTGCTGCTTTCTTTTTGTGCGTATCGCTGCAGCGGTGTTCACCAGCAGTGCAGGGGGGATCCCAATTGGGAATGCCTCCCTGGCTTGATTGTCCCACCTTTTGTTGCTTGCTGGGTGCTGCGACAACGGGGGAGTGGGTGTGAGGTGTCTTAGGTGGGGGCCGACTGCACACACGCGGGTGAACTTCTCTACTCCGCTCGCTCCGTCAGCCTTCCCGCCCGAAAGGCGTTGCATGACCGCACGGGCCTGTGAGGATGGGCAGCGCAAAGAGCCCCACGGCAAACACGTGCGTTGTGCGTGTTGTTGCAGAGGTGATTCCCCCCACCCCACCCCCGTCACTCCCCTGTTACTTCT